GCAGAAAGCCTCATCTTTCTCCTGCAGAACAGCTGGTAGTTTTGAACTGCTGACCCTGAGGTTCACAGCCCGATTCATAACCACTACAGTACCAGAGAAACCATTACTGACCCCATTTTACATACGAGAGAACAGAGGCTTAGAGAGGTAAAGAAACTACCCTAGACCCCAGTGGTCATTGGTCATTTCTGGCTCCAGAATCTTCTTTAAAAACAAAACAAACAAAAAACAAAAACACCCCCCCTGCCATTGAGTCCTTTTTGACTTTTAGTGACCTTGTTGTTGTTGTTGTCATTGTTAAGTACCGTTAAGTTAGTTTGTCATTATAGCGACCCTGTATAGGGTTGGGTTTCTGAGGCTTTACATCTTTGCTGTAGCAGAAAGCCTCATCTTTGTCCTGTGGAGCTGCAGGTGGGCTTGTCCCGGAGACCTTGTAGTCCATAGTCCAGTGCTTATTGCTGTAGGACAGAGTAAAAGTGTTCCACATGGGTTCCTAGGCTGTCATTGGCAGTAGACAGTCAGGTCATTCTCCCATGTGGTCGCTGGATGGGTTCAAACTACCAATCTTTTAGGAGAGGAGCGCTTAACCATTGCACCATGAGGGGCTCCTTGTTGTTGCTGTTGTTAAATGCCATCAAGTGGGCTACAACTCATGGTGACCCTGCATAGGGTTTCCGAGGAGCGGCTGGTGAGCTTGAACTGATGACCTATTGGTTCAAGCCAACTTTGCGGTCCAGCGCATTAACGTGCAGTGCCACACCAGGACTCCACTTATTGTAGTTAAGAATTAAATGCTATCAAATCATTTTGGACTAACAGCAACCTTGTACAGTGTTTCCCAGGAGCAGCTGTTGGGTTCGAACCTCAACTTGTGGTCAGCAGTGCAGTGCTGATCCTAGGTGCCACACACTAGAACTCTTAGATGTTGTTGATGTGTATTGTTGATGTGTGCCGTGGAGTCGGTTCTGACTCATAGTGACCCTGCACAGGGTTTCCGAGGCTGTAAATCTTTACGGGAGTAGAAAGCCTCATCTTTAAAAACACAAAAACGTTGCCATCCAATGGGTTCTGACTTACAGACTTTATAACTCATAGACTATATAAGACTTATAGACTATACATAGAACTTATAGACTACATAAGACGTATAGACTTATAGACAGTGTACAGCTGCCCCATAGAGTTTCCGAGGCAGAAAATCTATGGAAGACTGTTACTGCGGCTGATGTGCAATGCTTAATGCACTGCACCACCCAGGGCTCCCCCCTCAGCTCCTGTTGTCCTCCCAGGAAAGCCTTGCTGAAGACCCTCCAGGTAACCCTCCAGGTGCATCTTCTGTCCCTGCAGGTACACCTCGCGGTCCCGCTGCTACTCGGAGACGCCCTCGGCTTTCCTGCGCTGGCTGAGTCAGCAGACGCGCTGGTCCAAGTCCTACTTCCGGGAATGGTTGTACAATGCCCTTTGGTGGCACCGGCACCATGCCTGGATGACCTACGAGGCGGTGGTCTCGGGCCTCTTTCCTTTCTTCGTGGCGGCCACTGTGCTGAGACTCTTCTATGCCGGTCGCCCATGGGCGCTTCTCTGGGTGTTGCTGTGTGTGCAGGGTGTGGCGCTGGCTAAGGCGGCCTTTGCGGCCTGGCTGCGCGGCTGTGGGCGCATGGTGCTGCTCTCCCTTTACGCACCCCTCTACATGTGCGGCCTGCTGCCCGCCAAGTTCCTGGCCCTGGTCACCATGAACCAGAGCGGCTGGGGCACCTCGGGCCGCCGCCAGCTGGCTGCTAACTACGTCCCGGTTCTGCCGCTGGCCCTCTGGGCGTTGCTGCTGCTCGGAGGCCTGGTGCGCAGTGTGGTCCAAGAGGCCACGGCCGACTGGAGCGGTCCCTCCCGGACTGCCGAGGCCTACCATCTGGCTGCCGGGGCGGGCGCCTATGTGGGGTACTGGGTGGTCATGTTAACGCTGTACTGGGTGGGTGTGCGGAAGCTTTGCCGGCGGCGTGCAGGGGGTTACCGGGTCCAGGTGTAAGTCGGAGTAAGGTGGGAAGGCAGGAAGAGACTTGACTGGGCCTTCGTTCTGTGAAATGACAAGAGGAGCCCTGGGAGGTGCAAAGGTTAAGCGCAGGGACCGGTCAGCAGATTCAATGCATCCAGGGATAAAGGCCTGGTGATCTGCTCCAGTAAAGAGTCCGTTAACTCACGCCTGTCCAGTAGATCCAGACTCTCTAAGTGACCCTGTAGGACAGAGTGTTTCCAAGGCTGTAAATCTTTAGGGAAGCAGATGGTCAGGCCTTTCCTCCTGTGGAGTTGCTAGTGGGTTCGAACTGCGACCTATAAGTGTAGCAACTGATTGCTTAAACACTGTGCCACCAGGGATCCTTCTGTAAAGGTTATAGCCTAGACAAATGGTCTGGCGCTGTGGGCTAATGCGTCAGACTGCAAAGTCATTTGAATTGCAAGGTCAGTGGTTCAAGCTCACCAGCTGCTCCTTGGAAACTCTATACAGGGTCACTATGGGTCGGAATTGACTCGAGGGCACTTAACAACCCAAGCCTCCCCAGCCAGGACTATGGTGGGGCTGGGACTTCTGTGTCCCTGGGGATGGGTATTTATTGATCAGGGTCTGGGTTTTTAGGGGCAGGAAGAAAAAGGGCCCCTATATGATGTTCTGGGGGCCCCTTGCTTTTTTTCTGTTCTTATTTAATCATCATTTGTACTGTGTGATTCGAATTTAATAAAGAATTTTATTTATTTTCTCCTGAGACTTCCTTTTTTTTGAGAATTGAGGGGCTGAATCTACTACTTTGTTCTAGTAGCCTTTGGAAACTCATGAGTTCATTTTTCAGCAAATCTCATTGGTTCTGCCTTCAGAATGGATTCAGAACCACTGGTCCGCACCTCTGCCATCACCACCTCTGTCCCCAGACTGCATCTCGTGCCTGGATTACAGCAGCACCCACCTAAGTAAAAGAGGGTCCCTGCTTCCACCTTTGCAGTGAATTCCTCAATGCCTTTTCTAGTCGAAGTCTTTGTAAACTCCTACCAAATGAAGTTTCCCTCTGGGTCTGGGTAAGAACAGGTGAGAGGAAGATGCTGATGAATTAATTATAGGATTCAGCTGGGAGGGAGCGTTAACCGGGCTAATTGTGATTGGCCAGTTTGGCCAGAGGCATCTCAGAGACTGGGCGAGCTCCTTCGGAAAAACTAGCTGTTGAAAAACGCTAAGGAGCGCGGTTCTGGTTCTACTCTGGCATACAGCAGGTCACTGTGAGTTCGACATGACTTGATAGCAATTGTTGGACTCCCCCCACCCCCCATAAGTCCTGGTGTGGTACTGTCCACTACTTTCCCCTCAGGACATTAGCAGGCTCCGGGGTCTCCAAGGCACCTGCAATGCTGACCAACTGGCTACAAATCTAGGGGTTCCTATTAGCCAAAAAAGGAGACCTGGTGATGCCGTGGGTTAAGTATTGCACTGTTACCTGCAAGGTCGGCAGTCACACCCTTCATCTGCTCTTGGGAGAAAAATATTTCCATAAAGATCCCAAATTGTCACTTGTTATTTCCCTAATCGGACTCCTGGTGTGCTGCTGTAGGGTTCAAACCCACCTACTGCTCTTCAGAAACCCTATAGAGGGTTACTATGAGTTGGAATTCACTCAACAACACTTAACAATAGCAACAATTTACCTAATGCAACTTCTGGTGCAGTGCTGGACTGTGAACCACAGATTGGCAGTTCAAACCCACCAGCTGCCCTTCGGAAACCATATATAGGGTTGCTATGAGTCGGAATCCACTCGTAGGCACTCAACAACTTCCCTAATAAACCCTGTAAGTGTGATTGTGTGTGGCCACCGCAATGGATTATGAAAGTCAGCAGAGACTACAGAATGCAGTGGGAGGGTCGGCTGGTGTCAGAATTGGTAAAACAGGTTGGAGAGAGCCATCAAGGCAAGCAATCAAGTCCCTTCAGGCCAAACCCCCCTCCACGACTGAAACTCAAACACATGAGCTGGCATGTAAGCTTACTGGCGACCACATTGATCTGGTGAGTGAAGTGGGGGAAAGGCAGCAATGAAGAAATGGGCTGAGTATGACCACATTCCATAGACTCCCATTGACCTGGAGATGAGAGAGAGAAGAGGAAGGGCTGGTTGGTCAGAGGTATGGTGAGACCTGGGAACTCCTGAGCCCATAGACAAGGACATAGCCACGGAGGGCTAGCACTGAGAGTAGGAGAGACACACAAGAACACCCAAACTTGCAGATAGTACCCATTTGACCTACCTTGGATGGCTTAATGAACAGAACTGGACTAGAGGAAGATAAGAACTTTTGATAAAGGAAACAAGTGTAAATTGCTACAATTTGATGAACTTGACCTATACTTTTGGATACAGTAGCTCAAAGTGCCAACTGAGAGGGAAGGAGTCTTTATACCATTCCCTTTGTACGCAGGGTTATTACAGGCAATTTACACACTGGCTACCTAAAATGGGGGTGGGGGACTATAAAGGTACAAAGTAACTTGCTTACAAGTTTTCAAGAGTTTAATTTCAGAGTATGCGGGGGAAGGTAGAATCCCCACTGAATAGTTTGCATCTTGTCTAAATGGGTCTGGTGAAAGAAGATGGGGATAAGCTTCTTATGATTCAATAGTGAGTAATTCTTATGACTAATTGTGACTGTCACAACTGTAAAGGGAGAAGTTTTGTATCAAAAATGGGGGAGTAGTTAATCTTACATTCCAGGAACAAAGGACCCTAGGACCATCAAAGGAGAAGAGCATGAGCAGAACGCAGGACCCTATCCAGAGAAGCAGTGACACCAGAGATGGAGGCAGAGATGGAGACATAGAGACAGGGAGCAGCTGAGGACTCTGGACTCTGGAAAGAGAAAGACTGTGTGCTGGTGGCCAGGAGGCAGGCTTGCAGAATGTGCCCTTTGGTTGATTAAGTGATTATATATTTCCTGAGTGTTTTTGTGTACATCCAAAAAATAAAAAACAGGTTGGAGAGGGGAGGAGTGTCTGACGTCTACCTTTTAGGAATCAGCTTTGGGCAGATGCTGATTCTCATCTCTCCCTGTGAAGTATGAGGCCTAATGCCACCACATACATCATGCTGGGTACTGAAGTCCCTGACTGGTGATACAAGGAGGTCTCTTAGTGTTCTAGTGCTGCTCTAACAGGAAGACCACAGGTGGATGTCTTCAACCACCGGAAATGTCGTCTCTCACCGTGTACGAGGCTCCACATCAAATTCAGGCTGCTGGCTCTAGGGGAAAGCTTTCTCTGTCCGTCATCTTTGGGGAAAAGTCCTTGTCTCCTTAAGTGCCATCGAGTCGGTTCTGACCCATAGAGACCCTGTACAGGGTTTCTGAGGAGCGTCTCATGAGCTTGAACCGCTGACCTTGCAGCCCAGCGTATTAACCCACGGTAGGCCAGCATTAACCTGGAGATCATCTCCATGTGCCTTGGCATCAATCTTCCCCTGGAACTAGGTGGTCACAGTGCAGGGAGCCCCGGTCCAAAGCACACACTCCACTTCCGGTTCTCTGTTGGTAGAAGTCAGACCCCGCCTCTCTGCTCACTTCTCTCTCTTTTTATCTCTTGTAAGACAAACGGTGTTACAGGCTACACCCTAGAATACTGACCTTTACAGCCCATGAGGGCTGTGATGCAAGTAGGGCTGTTGCATCCCACCCTTAATCCTCTTACTGGTTTAACATATCAGATCACATTCTGGGGGAGGGGGTGACATCATATAACATCATTACATAACGGCCAAGCCACTGAGACTAATGGCCCAGCCAAGCTGACTTATATTTTGAGGGAGACACAACTCAATCCATGACTAGGGACTGCAAGGTCGTGGACCAATAGAATGGAAAGTCACTGGACTTATCCTACAAACTTCTTGAAGTTCTCTCATTCCGTGCAATTTTACTTCATCTGGAGAGAACACAGAAGCTCCAAGTCAGGGTTGGTCCCTCAAAGACTTTACCCTATATGTCTTCTTTATACAGATCCAGATTTGTATCCTTTATAATAAAACTGTAATCTTACAATCACAGAACTCTATGTGTAGAAAATGTTGAGTTGGTCTATATTCTGTTGCGTCTATACCCAACAACAACAACAAAGAATAAATTATTAAACAAAGAGAAACTCCTATGGAACACACGTCTGTTCTGACACATACGGGATCACCATGAGGCTTGGGAGAAACTTTTGTTTTGGGGGCGGGGGGCGCATACAACTGCCTTCCCTACCCTGTTTTCTGAGACTATAACAATGAAGTAGTCTAGGCTTCTGTGTCTCCCCTGCAAACAAAAACTAATCATAAATCTGATCCTTAGTTTTGTAGTCATCCCGGTGAATGACCACACTGAAGTGCTAAGAAACCAAACCTAACCCACTTCCGTTGATTCCGACTCCTCATGACCCTATAGGAACAGAGAAGAATTGCACCATAGGATTTCCAAGGCTGTAAATGTCTATGGAAGGAGTCCCGTTGTGGCACTGTGGGTTCATGTGCCAAACTGCAAAGCCGTTTGAAATGTAAGGTCGGCGGTTCAAGCTCACCAGCCGCTCCTCGGAAACCCTATACAGGGTCGCTATGGATTGGAACCAACTCAACGGCACTTCACAACAACAACAAATGCCTATGGAAACAGACTGCCCTAGCTCTCTCTTCTAAGAAGTGACTGGTAGGTTCAAACCGTCAACTTACTGCTTAACAGAGAGAAACATACAGGACATTAAAAAATTGCCTAGATCCTACGTGTGCTTTTTGCTGTCGCCAGGACGATTCTAATTAGAGTCTGGGTTCAAACGGGCCCCCTTCCGTTAGCAAACGTCAGCACGCACTGTGATAGCTGTGATGTTACTGTACTCACTCCCCTGGGTGTGTTTGGGGTACGCTGTCCTCTCCCTCGCCATAAAGTTGTTAAGTAACGTGGAGTCGGTTCCAACTCAGTATGTGTTTCTGAGGCTGTAAATCTTTACGGGAGCAGAAACGCCTCATATTTCTCCCGCGGAACAGGTGGTAGTTTCAAACTGCCGACCATGAGGTTGGCAGCCCGAATGATTCGTAACCACAACGCTACCAGAGCTCCTCATCACGAGGTTAGTAGTGACCATTTTCAAAGATGAAAGAAGTTGGAGAGGGAAAATGTACTCTTTATTTTAGGGATGAAAGTGGGACAAGGAAGAAAAGGGTACCTTGTTAGCTGCCGCTGAAATACCATCTGCAGAACATCCTGAAGAAAAAGGAGGGTGGGAATATCGATGGAGAAGGGTGGGGTGGGGTGGGCCCTGGGAGCCTGGGTCTCAAAGATGGATGGGGGTCTGGACTTGAGTATGAGGGAGGTGGGGAGAGCCTGATTGCTGGGTCTAGGGAAGTAAGAGGTTGGGGGACTGGACTCCTGGGTCTGAGGGAGGAGGGGGACTGGTGGTCTGGATTACTAGGTCAGAGGGACTCCTGGGTCTGAAGGAGGAGGAGGCTGGGGTCCTGTCTGAGTTAGGGCCTCCTCATATTGGTGTGTGGTTCTATTTATACAGCTGGCTCCTCCACCAGAGGGTCTGAGGGATCAGAAATCCAGATCTGAAGTAGGAGGGACTAGGTAGGAGTCTGAACGGAGAAGGGGCCTGGGGGCCCGGACTCCCAGGACTTAGGGAGGAGGTGGCTAGGGGCCTGAGCTTCCAGCTCTGGGTCTAAGAGAAAAGGGCCGGGGTCTCAGGGTCTAGACTCCGAGGTCCGGATGGTGGAACGGGGTGTACGGAGCACTCACCACCCGAACAGGATTAGACCGGCTACCAGGAAGGCCGCGGCGGCGGCGAGCAGGCGCTGGTTGCTCGGCGTCAGAGCCCCGGGGGTGGCCAGCAGCTCGCCCAGGCTCGGCGTCCAGGGCTCGATCAGCTCGACCTCGCGCTGCGCCCAGAGCACCACTTCCCGAAAGGAGACCTGCAGCTCGGTCTCTCCACGCGGGGGCGGGCCCGTCACTGCGGGGGCGCGCACGTCAGCCCCAGCTCCGCCCCAGCTCCGCCCCCCGCGCGGCCCCGACCCCGTCCAGCACGAACCATTCAGAAAGAAGTAAAGCCGCGCCAGGGGGCGCTGTTCTTGCGCGATCACACAACAGAAGGTCCCGTGGTGCTTGGGCTGCGCCGGACGGATCCGCGCCACGTTTCCCCGGGCCCCCGGAAGCTCTCGGAAGTAGGTCTGGTCCTGAGTCCGGAGCTGTGGGACGCTCGGGTTGAGGCGGCGCGGGGCGCGGGGCTTGCACTCTCCACCCAGGATAGTCAAACCTTACCATATAGCTAAGGCCCCGCCCCAGAGATAGACCACGCCCACCCGAGGCGTGGTCTCACCTCTTTTATTTGCCCGTTCTTACTACGTAGCTCCTCCCCTTACCTTGACCCCACCCCTGGAACCCACACTGGCTCTCAAGTCCTAAGTACTGCGGGTTACTCCAACGACCAGGAATAGCCCTTCCCCTGTCCCTGAGCCTGCTTTATGAGCCTGGACCCCTACTCTAAAACCAGGACCATCTTTTACACGGAACCCCAGTGGCTCGGTGGATTAATCACTCACTGGGCATCAGCCCTCTCTGAAAAACGAGGCAGTCTGCTTATAAAGATTTATCAGCTCAAAAACTCTGTGGGGCAGTTCTACTGTTCTATAGGGTCTGATGGGTCTTTGGTTCCCTTGCACTAAGCCTAGACCTAGATCATTCCCCCTTTTTACTTCTCCCAACTCCCATCCTCTTCTAAAGCACCTCTCCTAACCCTTCACACAGGCCCCGCCCTGACTCACACCTCCTCCTACGAACTTCCAGGAATAGGTGACCTCCTCAGGCAGCTCAAAGTCAACATCGCAAGAGAACATGGCCTGATCACCCCGAATCACCTTTATGTCCTGAACTGAAGACCAGGTTCGGGTCACACACGGACTTGCTCACACCTGGCCAAGCTCCCAGCCCACAGGTCTGCCCCTTTTCCCCTCAGGCCTCCGTTCTCCAGATCTTCACACTTCCAGGTCACGCCCCTCGCACAGGCAGGCCAGTCTTTTAAAGCCCCGCCCCTGACCCAGACAGTTAAATTATTTATAGGCCCCGCCCCCACATGGAGATCCAATCATTCCAGGCCCCGCCCCTCACTTGGGCAGTCTAGCGGAAGATCGCAGAGGGTAGAGTAGCACCCATGGCAGTGGAAACGCCTGGAGACCTCCTGGACTCCTATGGGACACAAACATTGGTCTAGAGGGATGTCACAAACTTCCTCAGCCCTGTCCTTATGACCAATTTAGGGTCTAGTATGTCTCCTGGTGTGGTGGTGTAGGTTAATGCAGTAGAACTGCAAGGTCAGCGGTTCAAGCTCACCAGCTGCTCCTCGGAAACCCTATATAGGATCGCTATCGGTCAGGACCGACTCCATGGCACTAACAACATGTTTCCTGGTGTGGCGTTGTGGGTTAATGCGCTGGACTGCGAAGTCAGTTTGAACCTCAAGGTTGGTAGTTCAAGATCATCATCCGGAAAGCCTATATAGAGTCTCCCTGAGTCGGAACCGACTCGACGGCACTTAACAACTTAACAAAAGTCTCCTTGGGTACTACTGAGAAGCCCTAGTGGCACAGCAGTTGATAGAGCTCAGCGGTTCGAATCCACCAGCCTCTCTGGGGAAGACAGATGTGGCAGTTAGTTGGGGTAGATTCTTGCTAAATGCCCTGGAGTGGGTTCTGACTCATAGCGACCCTGCACAGAATTTCTAAGACCAGTCTTTTCTAGAGCAGAAAGCTTCATTTTTCTCTCGAAGAATAACTGGTGGACTTGAATTTTGCAGTACAGTGCTTATCCTACAGAGTCACTGCGCTCCCTATAGAGAAACCATGTGGGGCAGTTCTACTCTAGCCTACAGGGTGGCCAGGAGTTAAAGCCACTCCACCTCAGGGTTTTATTGGGGGAGGGGGAGGAGCGTCTGTTGTCACATCATAACCTTGGCTCCGCCTTCCCTGCATCCATTGGTCAGCTCTCACCACACTCTGCCCTCTGGGATTCCTACAGGTTTCCTTTGGCGCTCTTCTATGGAGCACTAGTCTTTGTATTTTCTTCACGCCTTTTTTTGATCTAATATCTACCTAAGGTCATCTCGTTTAGTTTCAAGTTTGGGCCCCGACCACTTTCCTATCCCCCCACAATGAATGTTGAGCTTCGAATGTTTTCCTCACCGCAAGGAGGGATGCAGTCTGGAGCTGCAGAGGGAGAGAGAAATAGTTATTGTTCCGGAAGTTGCAGGCACTGGGTTTCCCCTAGTAGGTGCGACCAGACCGGAAGTATTCCTCTGAGGGGTGGAGCCAGGCCTGTGGAATTCCATCTGGGGGCGGGGCCAGGCCTGCTGCTGGCCAACGAAGGGGCGGGGCTCAGGCCTGGAGAATTCCAGATGGACAAGTGTGTATTCCATTTGCAGGGACTAGAGCCTAAAAAGGAAGCTGGTCAGGCTATTAATATTTCTCGCCGAACAGATCCAGGGAGAGGCTGGGGCCTGTCTGAGGAGGGGTCCCTGCCAGAGAGGAAAAACTCGGTGGAATAGGCGAGGCCATTTGCACAGTGCTCCACACACCGATGGTCCACAGAGGAAACGTCTCAGTGATCAGACCAGAAGCGGATTTTTGGGATCTCAGGAGTGGGGTCCCCTAGTCGTGTTGCATGTGGTAGTGGTGGTAGAGTCTATTTTACCTTCTTTAAGCTGTTCTATGTCCCCCTTCACTGTGTCAGCGGCAGCACGGAAGGCCTTCTCATAGGACTCTATGGGATGGAGGGAATCCTTGTAGTGAAAACTGTTCCTGGATGGCCCATGTAGCTGGACAGGACCTGCTGTCACTGGGCCCTTGCCCCTTCCCCAAGAGCTCTAGTGCCTCTGTAGGGTAAGCACTGGACTGCTAGCCACACGCTTGGCAGTTCAAACCCACCACCCACTCCTCGGGAGAAAGATGAGGATTTCTGCTCCAGTAAAGATGTACATATGTGGCGCTGTGGGTTAATGCGCCAGACTGCAAAGCCATTGGAACTGCAAGATCGACGGTTCAAGCTCACCAGCTGCTCCTTGGAAACCCTATACAGGGTCGCTATGGGTCGGAATCGACTCGACAGCACTTGACAACAACAACAAAGATGTACATCATTGGAAAGTCTATACAGGGTTGCTATGGAGTCCTAGTGTGGTGCTGTAGAATCAACACTGGACTGCTCACTGAAAGGCCGGCAGTTCAAACCCACCAGCTGCTCTTAGGAAATTCTGTACCCTCTATACCGGGTCACTGTGAGTTCGAACCGACTCCATGGCACTTAACAGAAGTAGAAACTGACTCGTGTTTTACTGTTGTTTGTTCCCCCCCCCCGTCCCCCGAGATACCACAACCAGTTTCACCTCCTCCCTCTGTGAACCTCAGTGACTATGTGTCCATGAGAGTCTTTCTGATGGGCACCCCTCTTCCACCCCAAACACACTCTCCATCATCTTGTTCTGGGAAAATGAGGACACAGATCAAATCCCTCACCAGGACCTCCCAGGCCAAACATGACCTGACATACAGCCTACCCATTTTTCATTTCTCCACATAGAGAAAGGCCTTTGCTCATGTTGGTTTCTGTTCCCAGCTCACCCTCCTTTATTCATGTCTTAGTTCTTGTGTCTCCTCCACAAAGGTTCTCCCTCACCCCAGATCTCATCTCACTCCCTCTGTTTTGATCTTACAGTGACCCACTCATTTCATCCATAACTCTCCTCAGTTTGTAAATGCACGTTTCATAACGTTTGTGGGGGGTGGGAGCCAATTATCTTTAAATTCTACTTGCCCACAAATGTTTGGAAGCCCCACTCCTCTATGAAGCCCCACACCTGTCTTCTTACTGCATTGGATTGTGTTGCCATGATACTGGAGCCCTGGTGGTGCTGTGGGTTAAGCACTAGGCAGCTAACTGCAAGGTCCATGGTTCAAACACAACCAGTTGGCTCTGCAGGAGATAGATGAGGATGTCTGCTCTTGTAAAGATTTATCTACTCAAAAACCCTAAAGGGCAGTTTTACTGTGTCCTATAGGGTCACGATAAGGAGCTCTGGTAGCGTAGTGGTTACGAATCGGGCTGTGAACCTTAAGGCCAGCAGTTCGAAACTACCCGCTGCTCTGCGGGAGAAAGATGAGGTTTTCTGCTCCCATAAAGATTTACAGCCTCGGAAACCCTGTACAGGGTCGCTATGGGTCGGAATCGACTCGACGGCACTTAACAACAACAACAACAAATAGGGTCACGATGGGGTCCTGGGGTGGTGCTGTGGGTTAATGCGCCAGACTGCAAAACCATTTAAACTGCAAGGTCAGCAGTTCAAGCTCACAAGCTGCTCCTTGGAAACCCTATACAGGGCTGCTATGGGTCAGAACTGACTCAACGGCACTTAACAATGGGTCACGATTATCAAAATCAACTCAATGGCAGTGGGTTTTTGGGTTACGATACTGGAAGGTGTTGTTGGGTGCTGTGAGTGGTTTCTGACTCAATGACCCTATATGGCAGATTAGAACTGGTGATTGTAAAAAACTTGGTACTCTAACATGAGTCTAAAATGAGTCATCTCAGAAACAGGAAGCGGGGATCTTGTTACCATCAAAGAGCCAGGAGTGGTACACATCATGTAGACCCTAAGATCCGTCCACACTGAACCTCCTCCATCCAGGGTCCCCAGAGGTGGGACAGAGGGGCAGCAGCAGAACCAAGGACCAGAACATGTGACAAGAGTGGTGGGTTTCCCAGATCACAGAGCAAGCAAAACATAGTGACTTTGGGCAGCAGGCTTGCTTGCAGAGTAGGGTGCCTTCAGACACTGAGTTGGGGGAGCTAGGTCTGCTGACCCACGGAACTAGAGCTAGTGTTTATGACTGAGGCTTATGGTGGCGTGGTGCGCTCTCTGGGGATGCATCAACAGCTCTAAAAGAGCTTTGTAATATTGCCCAGACAGAGAAAGGCCTGCCTATGGGCAAGGTTGAGGAGAGGGGGTCCTGACTGGAAGACCTGTGCCCTGAACACTTCTGACCCCATGAACTTCCCTAATAAACCCTGTAACAGAGACTGCTGTGGAGGCATGGTTGTGGCACTAGTTTTCCAGTCACAAGTCAGAGGTGTCTTGATGGTACCCAACAACGTATGTATGGTGATTTAACTGTCTCTTGAGCAAGACTGTATGAGCCACAGTGGAGCAGTGGTTAAGTGCTTCTCTGCTAACCAAAAGGTCAGTGGTTCTAACCTACACACTGCTCTATAGGAGAAAGATGCTGCAGTCTGCCTCTGTAAAGATATACAGCCTCGGAAACCCTGTGGAGCAGTTCTACTCCGCCCTATAGGGTCAGCGTGAGTCAGAATGGAGTGGATAGTGTGGGATTAGTTTATGGTTTAGTGCATCAGAATTGACTGAATAGTGTTGGCTTGGTTTACATGTCCTTCTTGAGTGCAATGTTCCAAGACCCCAGGACAGGGATCCAAACATAGAATAAATAAATGTGTAGAATAAATCCCAGGCAAACCCATCCCTTGGACATGTTATATGTGGCCTGAGAAGCATTTAAAAAAACCCTCCAAATTAGAAGCCCGTTGCCAACATAGAAAATTTGGGGAAGTTACATAAAATGTCTGGCTTTTTGAAAAGATGGGGAGACGTATAACTTGTAGATTGCTTCCATGAAACAACAGTTAGCTAAAACTGAATATAACAGTCCCGCCCCATGACACTGGGCACACACCCATTTCTACAAACTCATAGCGACCTTGTACACACTACTCAGTCGTACACCATCCTCAGCTTTTCCATAGCCCTTAGTGGTTACAAATCGGGCTGCGAACCGCAAGGTCAGCAGTTCGAAACTACCAGCTGTTCTGCGGGAGAAAGATGAGGCATCCTGCTCCCATAAAGATTTACAGCCTCGGAAACCCTGTACAGGGTCGCTATGAGTCAGAACCGACTCCACGGCACATAACAACAACATTCATTTCTACGTCCTTTCACTCTTTGAACAAGTTTTCTGCTTGTCCTTGTAGGTGTTTGGATTGGGGCCATTCCATTGTAAAGGCCTCCAAAATAGAGAGTTTTGTGCTTTTCCTCCCCTCCCCCAGGAAAGCTCTGTAGATGCACTGATTGATCTAACAGAGGAGTTTTGGAAAACACATCAGACAAGGATGGCCTCTAATCTCTCTAAAAAATATACATATTTCATTGTATTGTTCGTGAAAAGATACAAAGTAAAATACACTCTCATTCAACAATGTGTACACATAATGTTCATACAATGACAATGGTTACATTCTTTACAATGTAGCAACATTCTCATTACAGCCAGTCCCCAGATTATGAATGAGTTCTGCTCCCAAGTCTATCTTTAAATTGAATTTGCATGTAAATTGGAAGTTAGGTAAAGGTCATATCTAATGTCAGTTAAACATCTGTCTTGTATATGTAGTATATAATGTACACTGCAATGTATAACAGGCATTAAAGAAACATTTTCAGATACATAATCATGGAGTTATAATTAATGTCTTGATACATGTCAAACAGCAGTGTTATTTGTTATTACCAACTAGTATATGTACCTGGAATTTTAAATATATAGGTTTTATGGGGGTTGGTTTGTAACTACGCAATGCAATTGGGACATTTGTAACCTGGGGATTGCCTGTATTTCTGTTCTGGCTGTTTTACTCCCCGTAACTTTTGTCTTTGTGTAGTTGTTTTTGTTGTTAAGTGCCATCAAGTCAGTTCTAATTCATAGCAAACCTGTTTAGGGTTTCCGAGGAGTGGCTGGTGGGTTTGAACCACCAACCTGGCGGTTCAAACTAACCTGTGCTCCAACTCATTAACCTGCAGCGCCACACCAGGACTCCAATTTATTCTTACTGCCTCTTAAATGTTTCATCCATGCAATAGCCTCATATGCATGTGAAAGGAAGGCCGTAGAAGAATTGATGCATTTGAGTTATGGCATTGGAGAAGATTATTAAAAGTTTCATGAAGTGCCAGAAAAACAAACATATGTATTGGAAGAAGTACAGCCAGAATGCACCTTAGAAGCTGGGATGGCCACCTTGTCTCTCATACTTCGGGAATATTATCAGAGGGACCAGTCCCTGGAGAAGGACATCATTCTCAGTAAAGTGAAGGGTCAGTAAAAAGGAGGAAGATGCCGAACAAGATGGGTTGGCACAGTGGCAGCAGCAGCGGGCTCAAACATAGCAACAATTGTGAAGATTGTGCAAAAGCAGGCAGTGTTTCATTCTGTTGTGTACAAGGTGGCTATGAGCTGGAACCAAGTCAATGGTACCTAACAACAACAACAACATGCCTTAGAGTAGCTATTGTCCATTTGGTCTCAGATAGACCACAGCATACAAGAGTGACATTGTTACTTTTTGAGCTAATGTGCTATTTAGTTGAAAGGTAGATCTAGGAGATAGTTTCACTTCAAGGTTTAAAAGGTATGTCAGGGATTTTCCTTTGCCCCCCCCCCCCCTTCCCCCAGTCTCAATAGGTCCAGTTAGTTTGGCTCTTTGGGAATTTAAAGTTCTGTTCCTCAGTTTCTCCCCTTTTAATTAGGAACCATTTATTGTGTCTCTGATCAGAATGTTTGCTAGTAATAGCTGGACACCATCTAGTTCTTTTGGTCTTAAGGTACCTTTCTCTTTAATAATTAAACAGTTGGAACAGTGCCACCCAACTAAAAGATGACATTTCTCAGGATTCTTTGTAGTTAGGTGTGGTCATGTGACAAAGTTTTGGACCCTGCAATGCAAATGGAATATCATATGTAAATTACAAGAAGGGGCCTTAAAACGGAGGTATGGCACTGTAGGATAAGCACTGGACTGCAAGATCAGTTTGAATACAAGGTTGGCAGGTTTAAACTCACCCCCCAGTCGCTCCTTGGAAACTCTATACAGGGGTCACCATGAGTCAGAACTAACATGATGGCACTTAACCTCTTATTGTCCCTTTCCTGTTGCCTAAAACTTGATTATGATGGCTGGAGCTCTGACAGCCATCCTAGATCCATGAGGACAAAGACACACCTAGGATGCTGTTGTTAAGTGCAATTGAGTTCGTTCTGATGTCATCGAGTTGGTTCTGGCACTCATAGGGACTCCATCCAGGGTTTCTAAGGAGCAACTGGTCAGTTAGAACCACCAACCTTGTGGTTAGCAGTCCAGTGCTTATCCTACAACTCCATACCAGGACAGCTGAGCAGAAAGTTATTAAGAGTTTGATTCCCTAAGAAAGTGGAGCTACCACACCAGCCCCAGACATCAATCCCAAGACTTATTTCTCATGAGGAGGGCATTTCTCTGTGACTTACAAGCCATTAAAAAAAAAAAAAAAAGGGACAGATTTGTGGATATTGATTGATGATCATGAAAGATTACGCTGGAGAGCAGGTCACTGAGGCAGTGGCAGGCTGGTCAAGAGGATGGTTGGGGACCCAACTGAGAGGCCATCAAAAATTTGGAGGAGTTGTCTCAAGGATGGCCCAAATCAAAGGACCCAAGGGAAAGGGGAGTGTAGACTATATACCAAGTGAGAAATGGAGAGAGGGGGATGGTTTGCATAAGTAGTCCATTGTGGGAGGAGGAATGGAATGAAATGTTCCAGGAGATATGGATTATATCATGTACACCATGGTGGGATGGGGTGAGGTGACTGGATGTTGTAAGTCTCCTCAGAAGAGATGAATACTAGTTAGGTGCTCCAGCTCTGATTCTGACCCTGTAGGATTGAGTTCTGGTTCTACTAGGTCTGAGCACACCTGTCTCCCATTAACATCAATCACCAGTCCTTCTCCTTACATGACCTGGGCCAAATGGCTTAACCCTCCTGACCATCATTCCTATAATGGGACAACAGGTACCTACCTCCCTGGGTTGGTTCCAATGGCGGTGAGCATTAATTGCCATACAATGTAAAAGTGCTTTGTCTGAATGATTATATGAGATAATACCTGGAAATGCTTACAACTATACCTGCCACATAATGGATGTTGTGTATGATCAGCTATTATTACCATCCCTTGGGTTGGATAAAGGAACCCTGGTGGCTGAATGGTAAAAGGCTGACAATTTTCAACCCTCTGGACACTCCGTGGGAGAGAAATGTGGCAGTCTGATTCCATAGAGGTGCAGCCTTGGGTACCCTGTGGGGCAATTCTCCTTCATCCTACAAGATATCTATGAGTCAGAATGAACTCAGTGGCAGTTGGGTTTGTTTTTAGGTTCTGGTGGTGAAGGAGTTAAGCCTCCATGAGTGGATCTGTGGAAGGAAGATGTAGCAATCTGCCTCTGTAAAGACGACAGCCTTGGAAACCCTATGGGGCAGTTCTGTTCTATCCTACGTCACTGTGAGTCAGAGTTGACTCATGGATAGTTGGTATGCGCAGACTGAGGAACAGAGAGGCTAAGGATGTTGTTCAAGGCCAGAGTCAGATTTCAACCTAGGTGGCTTAATCATTAGGGAACACTGTCCTCATCTCTACACCATATTGTCCACTTCATTGCATATTGACACAGTATCACCTGGGACCATCAAGGCGGCAATGCTAATTCAGCCCCATTCATCCCTCTAGTCCTCCAGTTGGGAGAAACTTGGGCACCATCCTCTTCCTTCCCACCCTGAGCACCTACATATGAAGGGGCTTCAAAAAGTTCATGGGAAACTAGAGTAGAAAGATGATGGAATTTTTCCACGGACTTTTCGAAGCCCTCTCGTACACCTGGTCCAGCCAGCCTTTATCTCCAGAATGGCTCCTGGATCTGCCCTTCTTACCCAGCTGAACCCCAACTTCTCCATCTGGAACATGGAGGCTATAAGTGCTCACCATACCCAGCAGTGCCACAGAAAAGTCCTGACTGTTTCTGTAAGACCACACCAGCGACCACCCCATGGAGCACGGTTCTACGCTGCAACAGTTCATGGGAACCCATGGAGCAGCACTTCAGTGCTTGGTGACGATGTCATTGATCTGAAGTCCGCTTGGTGGGGTTTGATTTCTAGTTTGACCGGGCTCGTAGGAGGGAAACGCTTAGAGGAGAATAATGAAGATAAAGAACTCTCTTTCTGGTGGGCATAGCTTCTCCCAGGCACAGGGCTGGCTTGGCATGAAGTAAAATCCTTGATCTTGCTTCTACTCTAGCACCATCCCCCTCAGCTTAGACCTAACTTGACCAGTGCGACCGCTCCATCATCCAACATCTCTCTCCTGGATACCATCAACAGTCTTGCTTCTGCCCTGGCCTCATGTGATTGCCAGAGAGATCTTGCTAAAAACCTAAGACATCCCACTCCTCCTCAGTGAGACACCCTCTAGTGGCTTCTGTATCCCCATCAAAGGCAATAGCCAAAGTCCTCATGATGGTCTACGGTAGCAGTTCTCAAAGTGTGTCCCTGAGCCACCATCAGCATCAGCATCACTGGGCACAGTCTCAGGCCTGACCTTAGACCTTCTGTTGTTACTAGCTACCATCAATGGAGCTGGGCCATCAACCCCATGTGTACAGAGTTGAATTGCTCTATAGGGTCTTCCAGGTTGTGACCCTTCAGAAGCAGAGCACCAAGCCTGTCTTCCAAGGCATCTCTGGGTACGAATTGCCAATCTTTTGGCCAGCAGTGGAGTGCTTAACTGTTTGCACCACCCAGAGACTCTTATCTCATATCTACTTGCCAGAAACGGGCTGTGGTTCAGTCGTCTACCCCAGGAGATTCTGAGGCACACAGGCTATGACATCCTAAGGGATTTATCCTTTTTCTGCCTCTGACTTCATTTCCTATCATCTTTTCCCACTGGTCAACTCCATTCCAGCCCCACTGGCCCCAGGGCCTTTGCACTGGTTTTTGCCGCTGCCTGTGGCTTGCCTTCTCCAAATTAGCTGCATTGTTCATCTACACACCCTATCACCTCTCTCAGGTCTTTGTTCAGTTGTCCCTTCTCACTGGCACCTCCTCACCGACGTACTGAAAATGGTCACTACAGTGGCCAGCCCTGTTCTGTTTTCTTGTTCTGTCTTCCTCCACAGCATGGATCACTAGCTTGTCTCCGGTAATTATTTCTGGATGTTTCTTGTCTGTCGTCTATCTCCTTCCAGCCCTGAATATACAAGACTGGAGAGCAGGCATCTCACACGGTGTTCACAGCCTGCCCTCTAGCACAGTGCCTGGGGCATTGGGTCAATATTTGCTGGATGTATTGCACTTGCCTGTTCCCGGCCTCCAGCCCACCCCCACAAGACCCCTGTTGTTCCATCCAGGCGATCCTGACCTGAAGAAATCCCACAGGACAGAGTAGAACTACCCCCTAGGGTTTCAGAGACTGCAAGTTTTGCAGAGGCAGATCTCCAGATCTTTTTGATGGAAAAGAACCTTTGGGTTTGCTAACCTTCAGTTAGCAGCTAAGTGTTCGTTTTCACAGGGTCCCAGATGGATCTTTCTGTGCGCAGAGCTGACCCCACCCCTTGCATGACTCTCCAGAACTCTGTCAGGTTCCTCAGTGACTGATCTTCCCCCACCCAGCAGCACAAGTAGACACCAGAACTTTTCTTCCAAGGCACCCTTGGATGGATGGGAAGGACTACGAGCGCATTAACTGTTGGTACCACCACCTGGGGATGGACGTTAGTACCCATGCAGAAAACCAATGAATAAGGAAGGCCATAAAACAAAACAAAATGAGTTGCCATTGAGTCCGTTCTGACCCACGGTGACCCAGCGTTTTTCAGGGTAGACCTGTGCTGCTCCACTTTCAACGGCTGGTCTTGTAGATCACTAGGCACCTCTGGGTGGTCTCGAACCTCCAACGTTTTTAGTTAGCAGCTAAACATTTAATCATTTGCACCACCCAAGGTGAGCATGATCACCAATGAAGGAAATACCCAACTACCCACCACCAAACTAGTTGCTATCAGCTTGGCTGCAGTTCATGGCAACCCCCTCCACCCCCCTACCCCCGTGTGTGTCAGATTCAAACAGTGCTCTCCAGAGGGTTTTCAATGGCTATGATTGTTTGAAAGCATATAGCCAGGACTTTCTTCCAAGGTGCCAATTGGGTAGGTTTGAACCACCAGCCTTTTGTTTAGTAGTTGAGGACTTAACAGCCTGTACCACCCAGCAGCCCTGAAACCCAGGTCCTAGGAGGTGGCAGGTTTATCCTACATAATAGAGTGCCTTTACCTCCCCCTCCCACCCCACGCAGCTCCAGTCTCCTGCACACTGAGGGGGATCAGGTATCCTGTGACCATAGCAACCAGGTGTGATTACTGCTAACACTATCCTTGGCCGACACCCTGCTCCACTGCTCTGTAGTTCTTCCACCCAGCCACTCTAAGAATCCCAAACCATCGAGTCCATAGTGAACCCACAGCACAGAGCAGCAGTGCCCAGTAAGGTTTCTTGGACTGTAAATCATTACTAAGGAGCTCTGGCAGCGTAGTGGTTATGAATCGGGCTGCGAGCCTTAAGGTCAGCAGTTCGAAACTACCAGCGGCTCCGCGGGAGAAAGATGAGTTTTTTTGCTCCCGTAAAGATTTACAGCCTAGGAAACTCTATACAGGGTCACTATGGGTCAGAACCCACTCCACGGCACACAACAACAAATTACTGGAGCAGACTGCCATACCTTTCTCCTTCCGGTAGCTGTTGGGTTTGAATCTCGCCAAATTTTCAGTAAGCAGCTGTGCACTTGAACCAGTGCTCCACCAGGGCTCCTTGTTCTACCCCTAACCCAAACCAAACCCACTGGCACTGAATCTATTCCAACTTATATTGAGTGACCCCTGCAGGACAGGCTGCATGGAGACATATCGATGAAGAATAGATTGAAGTTGTCAAAGACTTCATTTTGCTCAGATCAAGCATCAAAACTATTGGAAGCAGCAGTCAAGAACTCAAATGACTGGATGGCATTAGGTAAATCTGCTGCACGAGACCTCTTTAAAGTGTTCAAGAGCAAAGATGTCAATTTGAGGACTATGGTGCACCTGATCCAAGCCATGATTTTCACTAACCATACAGGCAAGTGAAAGTTGGACAATGAATAAGGAAGGCCATAAAAGAATTGATGCATTTGAGTTATGGTGTTGGAGAAAGTATCAACCCTGGACTGTTCGAAGAACATACATATCTGCGTTTGAAGAAGTATGTTTGCGTTTGAAGAAGTATCTGCGTTTGAAGAAGCCAGAATGCTGTTTAGGAGCCAGGATGGCCAGACTTTGTCTCTCATACTTCAGACCTATTATCAGGAGGGACCAGTCCCTGGAGAAGGATATTATGTTTGGTAAAGTGGAGTGTCAGAGAAAAAGAGGAAGATTCCCCATTGAGAGAGACTGGCACAGTGGCAGCAGCAGTGGGCTCAAGCATAGCAGTGATTCTGAGGTTGGCACAGGACTAGTCAGTGTTTCGTTCTGTTGTGTATAGCGTCATATGAGTCAATAACGACTCGATGGTACCTAACAACACACAACAAGAAAACAGAGTAGAAACGCTGTAGGATTTTCAGGGCTGTAGATTTTTGCGGAAGACTGCCTCATCTTTCTTCTTCAGAGTGCCTGGTGGGATCAAACCCCCCCTCCCCCACCACCATTTGGTTAGCAGCTCGGTGCTTAACCCATGGTACCACCAGGGCTCCTCTGTAAAGTTAACAGTGAAGGAAACCCCAGAGCACCGCTGTGCTCTGTACACACATGGGAGTTCCATGAGCTGGAATCGATTCAATGGCGATAGGTGTGGTTTTTGATATCCTCACCTATTAAAAATGTGGAACTCCGTTCTAACTGTACAGGGTACACAGATATTTGTTTTCTCTTCCTAGAGAAGAACAAAGGAGACTTGGTGGTGCTGTGGTTAAGCGCTCGGCTGCCAACCAAAAGGTTCGAACCCATCGGTTCACTCCGCAGGAGAAAGATGAGGCCATCTGTTTCCATCGGAAACCCAGTCCTGCTCTGCCCTGTAGGGTCACTAACTGTTGGAATGGATTCCTTCCTCTAAGTCAGAATCAACAGTGTTTTTTGTTTTATTTTGTTTTCAGAGGAAGACATCATTCTTGAGGGTCTGTCTCATCCTCCTGAGGGCCAGGGAGACCCTGAAATTCACAGCCATCTTGAGAAGCAAGATGATAGTCTCACCTTATAGGTAGGTAAATTTAGGTTCACAGAAGGGTAGTGGTATGTCCATCCAGAATTTCATAGGAAGAGTGAGACCCACCTGATTAGTCTGGGGGTCTTCTCCCTGGACTGGACTCCACACACTGGGCTTTCTCCATTGTCCAACGACCCGAAGCCCCAACAGCTAGCTTCTCCACGTCCCTCTGAGAACCACCTTCGCCTACATGTAACCTAGCTCCCTCAGCTTGCTGCATCTGCCCCTCCCAGACCTCTGCCAAGTTCCTTGGAGAATCTCTCCACACACACCCTTCTCTTGAGGGTCCCAATGCAGTATTGTTCCTGCTGCCACCCCCACCCCACTCACTCTGAGCTAAGGCCGTCTCCTGGAGGGAGTGGACTATCTGGGTAAAGATGTCATGCAGATGACCTCTCTCGTCGTAATCTGTGGGCAGGGTCAGGTGAACAACGCTGTAGCTGTATCCCTAACGTGGCATTCTATGTCTCCTCAAAGATACCTTACACTCTCTCTGAGTCTCTATCTACCCCCCACCCCCATTCTTTGAATCTCTATCTTCCTCTCTCTCAGTTGCTATATCCCCTTGGGTCTCTATCCCCCTCTCTCCCTGGGTCTCTGTCTCCCCGCCCTTTCTGGGTCCTTGTCCCCCCTCTCTCAAGGTCTCTATCCTTCTGTCTTTGGGTCTCCATGCCATGCCCCTCAGGTCTCTGTATCCCTCTCTCTCCAGGTCTGTCTGTCTGTCCCTCCCTCATCTATCTCCCTGACTGACTCTCTCCAGATCTGTCTGTCCCTCCCTTGTCTCTCTCCAGACTCTCAGGGCCCCAGTGGAGGTGGGAGGTTGCTCACTGATGTCCGTGTCTTGGAGACCTCGGAAGGTTGCTGTGAACGCATCCTCACACTTCTTGAGCGCAGGTCCCTCCATCCCGACAAAGAACTGGCAGATGCGAAGGCGCTCAGAGTAGGTTGTGAAGCAGAGGAGGCAGGCCCAGGTGGGCGCTGTGATGACCACCAGGGCCACCAGAGCAGATAGGACACCACTCACTGGGGCCAGCAGGGTCATAGCGAGGGCCTCAGTGCCTGGAGAGAAGCTGGTGACCTTTGTGAGGTCACTACATAGCGGGGGAGGGGTCAGTGGGTGTGAGGTCAGAAGTCAGCTTTTGTCTGGTGGTCAAATGTCAGGCTGTGGGGTCTCAGGCAGGAAGGTCATGAGGGGTCGGGGTTGGACTGGTGATCCCCAGGTTGATGGTTGGGCCGGACGCCAGGCTCCCAAGAACCTCACCTGTGACCCTGGACATCCTCACAGGTTAAAGGGTCTCAGGGACCCAGAGGCCGGCGGTGTGGAGCAGAGTGGTTATGAGGGATGGTGGGGTGGGGGTTAGGAAGTTGCATAGATTGATAGAGACAGAGAGAGATGGAAACACCCTAAGTAGAGAGAGAGGCAGAGACAAAGAGACAGAGATATCGGTGGTCGTTGGGAGATGAGGACAGAGTCAGAGGGGCCCTTGAGCAGAAAGAGACACAGACGCCCCCACAAAGTGAGCAGCAGACACAGACACACCCAGCAAAAATGGGGAGACAGAGAAAGCAACGTGGAGTTGGCTTGTTGAGAGAGGACTTAAACAAGCAGGAGAGAATGCAGGGAGCTGACACAAGAAGACAGCCCAGCTCCTCCCAGGGCCCCTGCTGCAGCCCTCTGAGCCCCGGGGGTCCCAGCTGGGCCCCCGTCCTGTGCAGGGCGCAGCCTGGGGAAAGCTAGGAGGCCGTATAGTGATCTCCTTGGGTGTCCTCCTCAACTATACAACCTCCTACCTCAGCCCGGGGGGCGCGGCAGGTGGACGGACGGACAGACAGGATGGACGGATGGAAGGACCAGGAGGGCCAGGGAGGGCGGGGAGGGCCGGAGGCCCTCCGGCCGCGATGGTGAGCCCGACACGGACCCACAGACACGAGCTTGTGTGCGGCAAAGGCCCCGCAAGGTCGGTTCTACGGGTGGGTGCCAGGACCCAGGTGTCCGGGCCCCCGGCCCCCTCCTCCCCAAGGAAGCCAGGAGTCTGAGCTCCTTGTCCCTGGCCCCTTCCTCTCCAAAGGTCCTTGGAGTTCGGCCCCTCCCCACCAGTCTTCTTATTCCTTGAACTTAGGAATCCACGTCCATAGTCTTCTTGCCAAGAGACCCACAAGGCCAGGCCCCGGATGCTTCCTCACCAGGGATCCAGGAGTCCAGACCCCTGGCCCCCTCATCTCAAACGTCCTCGGAGTTTCCCCTCAGACCAAGGAATCCTAGTCCACAGTCTCATCCTCCCCAAGAGATCCAGGAGCCTCCCCAAAGATCCCTGAAAGCTCAGTTCCCTCAGATCCAAGAGTCCAACCAAGATTCCCTAGGGGAAGGCAGGCACAGCCCCATGGGAGGGGACCTCACCCATCTTGAAGTTTGGCCCTTCAGTCAAGGTTACTTCCTACAGGCCGGGCTCCACGGAATTCAGGACCAGGGCCTGAAGCTGGTCAGGTATGGAGCCATCAAAGCCTCATCCCCATCCCTGATGGTCATTGCACCAGGAAGCAGACCAGCGCCTGGAACACCGCCCGCAGCCCCGAGGGAGGTGTTAGGAGCATCCCCATTCCCCAGGTGAGGAGACTGAGCGCCTCCCAAAGAGGATGGGACTTCCCTAAAGTCACTCTGCAAGTGGGCGGGGCTAGGCCTCCCCGGGCAGGGACCTGATATCCCCAGAGTGGTCTAGCAAGTCTGCCCACCTGGGGGTCTCCTCCTGGGCCTCCCATTTGCCCCCAGGCTCTCTGCAGTCTTTACCTGCAGTCAATTTCTTTCCCACCCTGCCCTTTTTTGATACCTCACGCTCTCCGGCTGTCTTTTCTCGGCCTGGGTCTAGCTCGCCTTCTCCTTGGGCTCTGTCCCCTATTCTGTCTTCTCGTTACTACTGTCTGTCTCTGCTTCCCCAGGCAGCCCTCTCCTCGGCTCTCCCTCCGTTTTCTATCATTGCCCCCCTTTTTTCTCCTCCCTCCCCCGTCTTTGTCTCTCCTTCTCTCAGACCCCCTAGTTTCTTCTTCCCTGGATTTCTGTCCCCCTCACCTCTCGGTCGTACCCGAATCCTCCCTCTTTTCAGTGTCTCTGTCTTCCTCCCTCCTCCAGTCCCCCCACCGCCACCTCCCAGGATCTGTCTCTATCTTCTTCTCTCCCCTCCCCCTTCTTCTCTTCTCTTTTCCTCTCTCTCTCTCTTTCTCCTTCCCTCTCTCCCTCCCCCTCGCAGCTCACTCGGAGCCAGGTCTGGAGCTGGGGGTGGGGTGGGGGTGGTTCGAGAAGGGGCCCCGGGCTGGGGTAGCGACCTGCTGAGGAGGGGGAGGAGAGGCGGGAAGGGGGCGGAGAAGGGAAGGGGGAGGCAGGCGGGGGGCCGGAGACGGGTCCGCGGTCCCAGCTCTCAGTCTCCAGCCCTCCTTCCCAACCTCCCAGACCCTCAGGCGGGGGCGAGAGTCAGGCCAAGGTGGGGAGGAAGGGGAAGGGAGGAGGCTGCCCCCGCCCCCCCCCAACCTGGCCCAGAGCCCAGGCCTGGGTTCCCAGCATGCCCCGGGGCTGCCTGGGGCCTGAGGAGGGGGGTGAGGGGAGAGGGGAAGCTGAGAATCTTCAAGATTCGCAGGACCTGTGCATGCCCCCCCCAACCTAACGCATTCTTCCTTGGGGAAACTGAGGCCCAAAGAGAAGGGTCAGAATTCGTTCAAGGTCACCGGACAAGGCATTGGGAGATACGCGAACTCCCTGGCCCACAGGCCTTGCTCTGGGGAAGGGGTGGGCTCAGGACTTCCCTCAGGTCTGGGTCCCCCTCCCCCTCTCCGCAGACCCTGGGGAGCCCCCAAGGGTCAGAGAGCAGACCCAAACAGTCTGGCACCATAGCAACCAGCTGGCCCCGCCCCTTTAACCCCTGGAGGGCAGGACTCCAGCTGGGGCTAAAGAGGAGATGGGACTCCTGGGTTCAGGAAAATGAGGGGGCTGGGTCCCCGAACTCCAGTCTTCTCAGGAGAAAGATGCTCAGGACCTGGACTCTTGCATTCCAGAACAAGAGGAGGTTGGGGGGCTCAAGCTTCTAGGCAGGAGGGGGCTAGGGTTCTGGATTCGGGTTTTGTGTGGGTTAGGGGCTCCCAGGTCTTAAGGAAGAGGAGGCTGGGGGTCTTGAATCCTAGGTCTTGGGGCAGAAAGAGCAAGGGGAACTCTGAGAAGAGAGGGGGCTGGGTCGTGGATTCCTGCGTCTGAGGGAGGGGCTAAGACCTGGGTCAGAGAGAGGAGTGGACTCCAGGGTCTGAAGAAGGAAGGGGCTGGGGGCCGGAACTCCTGGGTCTGCGGGAGGAGGGGCTGGGGGCCCGGACTCCGGGTTCTGAGAGAGGAGGGGCCTGCGGCTGGACTCCTGGGTCTGACGGAGGAGGGGGTCAGGGGCCCGGACTCCTGGGTCTGCGGGAGGAGGGGCTGGGGGCTGGAATCCCTGGTCCCCACGGGAACCTGGATGCAGGCCTCTCCTCCGCCAGACATCCCCTGCCCCCGCCGCTGACCCTGGCCTGTCTGGCAGCCCAGACAACCTGCCCCCTCCTCCTCAGCCCTCTCCCACTCGCACGGCTCACCCTTGACCCCTCCAAGTCCCGCAGCTTCATCCCTGCCCCACCCCCTCCCCTCCAGCCAGACGTTAACCCTTCCGCAGCCAGAGGCATCGCCAAAACCAGACTGTACGCCTCCTCTTCCCTGAGGGCTCAGGCACCTCGTCCCCCGTCTCTTCCACCCTCAGAACCTGGCCACCCCAGCCCCCATGTCCCTCCTTCCACAGGGACCCCGGAATCCTGGTGTCCAGCCTCTTTCTTCCAGCCCCCTCCTCCTTCTAGAACCCAGAAATCCAGGCCCGCCGCTGCCTAGCTCCTTGGGGACCCCGGCTCCAGGCCGCCTTCCTTGCCGCAGACTCACCGCTTCCGCGGCTCCCGCGTCGGAGGGACCGGGGTCTCAGCGGTCCCGAGCCGGGCCTCCAGCCGCCGCCTCTCCATCCTTCTCCCCGCCTCCGCCGCCCGGCGGCCTCTCCCCTTCCACCTCGCGTCCCCGCCATCCCCTAGCTCTGCGCACCCGGCTCCCTTCGGCCCCGCGCCTCCCAGCCTCTGCGGCCCCGCGCTCCCGCCTGGACCCCGCCGGGGCCCC